GGCTGCTGAGACGCGCTGCTGCCCCCCGCGCGGGCGCCGCGGCTTCAATGGCGCCATCGCCCAGGACCAGCAGCCGGCAAGATGCGACCGCCCTGCCCAGCATGTCCTCAACTTTTTGGGCGTTCATGATCCTGGCCAGTCTGCTCATCGCCTACTGCAGTGAGTATCGCGCGGCCCGGGCCCCCGCACGGCCCTCCATCCCCGGCTCCCCGGCCCTCCCCCCAACCCCGGCCCCGGTCCCCAGCTCTGGTCCGGGCCCCGGCCCCAGCGGCCGCCAGGAGTCGGTGCGGAGTTGCCAGTTCGCGGTGCGCCGTCCCCGGGTCCCGCCGCCAACGCCTGGGCCAGGAGGGAGAGGGGCCGCCGGGGCTCCCGGCGCTCGGGCACTTCGGAAGCGGGCGCCGCCGCCGAGCCTCTCGCCCCGACTCCGGGGCAGGGCCCGGGCGCCAGGCCCCGGGTGGCGCGGCGATGCCCGGGGCTGCCCGGTGTGCTGCCGCCTCTCCCGGCCCAGGCCGGCGGGCCGAGCCGAGCCGCGCGCTCCGGAGGCGGCGGCAGGTCGGGGGCCGGCGGTCAGCACCGCTGGGGATGTCGGCGGAGCGCCCTGCCCAGCGCTTTCCGCGGGCGACACTCCCGCCGGGGACGAAGGGCGACGCGGCGGCCGAGCCAGGAGCGGGGTACCTCCAGCGGGAGCGGGGCTCGGGCTAGGACGCGTGGCTGGAGCCTCTGCCTGCCGGGGAAGCTGACTCGCCAGGCGCTTTCTTAAAAAAGAGAAGTGAGGGGTGGGGTATGTGGAGAGGGTCCGCCGCCGCCGCGGTTATTTCTGGAGTCGTGTCCGGGGACCTGAGCCGCTGACCCTGCTGATCTGGTGCGGGGCCGCGGGTTCGGGGCTGGGGTGGGTGCGGGGGACTGGGGACAGGGACAGGCTCGGGGGCGGCCGGGGTGAGTGGGGGGGTTGTGGGCTGGGTGAAGGAGGGGTGGTCGGAGTCCCGGGCGCAGCCTTGGGCTGCGGTGGGGGGGGGTGGTCAGTGCTCCGGGTGCACGCTCGCAGTCCGACAGGGTGGCGGGGAGTGGCCAGAGTCCTGGGCGCGGGCTCGGGGGCTGGGATGGCGCGGGCTGCTCGGTTCCCCGGCCGGCCGCTTGGCACAGGCTCCTGGTCCCTTCCCATCCTAGCGGGAGGAGAGGACGGGCGCTGAGGAACACCTGTCATGGAGAACTGCCATGGGCGCGGGAGGTGATGGAAAAATATGGATTCTTTAAAAAAAAAAAAAAAAAGAGGCCAGCGCCGCGCCTGGCTCCCGCACCACCACCTCGAAGTCCCGGCCTCCCCGCTCGCAGTCCGAACCCTCCGGGGCCTCCAGAACGAGACCACAGCGGACCACGGGGACCCAGGCGGCGGCGCGGTCGCCGAGTCCTGGGACAGCCCAGCCCGCCGGAACTGCCAGGGAGACCCGTGCGGGAGCAGGCATGGCCCTACTTCTTTCAGCCCCGTTGTGCATTGCCCACAATTGCAGGCGACGGCTGGCGCCCTGCGTGGGGAGGGGACGCGTGTCGGGAAGGCCCCGGGCGGGGTCGTGACCCGAACTGCCCAGCCAGGCACCGCCAGCACTCGCGGGGCGGTCTGGGGGGACCGGGGGCTGGGGCTCCGCGCGGCCATCTCGGCCCTCCGGCTGCGTTCACAGGGTTCCTTGGTGATGTGCAAAGGGCTGGTGATAGATAAAGTCCCGGTACTGCCTGGGTGCCATATGAATGCTCTTCCTGGTGGCATGGGGGGAGAGGGGTCTCATTCAGCAGTGTTGGGAAGGGGACTAGCTCCCTGAGCGTCCCCTGGGGATGCTGTCCTTGGCCAGTGCTGGCGACAGGTCCTTGGGTCCCAGGTGCGAACCCAGGACAGCAGCTGGGCGGGGAAGCAGCCCTTCAGGTGAAGAAAAGAGCAACCACTAATGGTTAAGTATAGGACACACTGGCGGTGGTTTCAACACTCCACACCCCCACCGCTAGCCTGAGCCTCCCTGGTTCCCGCCTTGTCAGTGCACTCCCCACCACCTGCACCTGCACCTCACTCCCACACTCACACCCTCCCAGGACTGCTGCCTGCCCCAGGCCGGGGTCAGAGAGCAGCCTCCCGGCTGCCCAGAAACACCATGAAACCCGAGATCCCTGCCCGTGCACTCAGCCTGCCCTTAGCAGCCTCCCTGGTGTTCTACAAACAAATCTTCCACTGGGACAAGGACATTTGCTAAAATGTCTGATTCAGAAGAGCAGAAATCGTTAATAATGAAAGCTTGGGTTAACCACATTTTCATGGTGGTTGCCATTTCCATGTAATGGAGTAATTGACAACAAGATAAGACGTTTTCAGACACACCCCATTTCACTGGAAATGCACTTGGAGAAATTAAAACATTTTACGAAAATACAAAATGGACATAATAATAATTTATAGCATGGAACAGCAGTCCTGCAGGAAAAAAAAAACAACTTTTTTTTAGAATTGATAAAGCAAATAAAATGCAAATGAAACCGTTCTTATGATTTCCGTTCTCTTTTCCAATATATCTGGGATGAATAAGAATAGTTAGAATCCTTGTTTGTAAATTGTTTTTGTTATCAGTCAGGATTTTTATTACCCAAAATGTTTTTGTGTTATGGAGCAGATATATTTGTATCATATTAATTAGGGAAACTGATAAGTATCATACAGGATTCAATTATCCTCCCTATTAAATCTGAGCATTTCTCTGCAGCACATAAGGTGTTCACTTTCTAGCGCGGCGTAAGGAAAACTGGATTATTTCTTGGCCTGGTTTTCAGTTAGGGGATGTTTTGTTCCAGGGCCCAGTCAGCTGAGACTCATAGTTAAGGAGATGGGCTCCACCCTCTGGCTGGAGAGGGACCTGCAGTCCACCAATTAGGTTAGTTGCTATAGTGACAGTCTTGTCATTTTTCTCCCATTGGGGAAGAATTGCCAGGAAAAGCGGAGAGAGAAGGGGGCCCTCGATGGCTTTCTCCAAATGCACACTCGGTAGTCTGTGGACGTCCTGTTGACGGTGGGGCTGGCGCCTCGTTGGTTTGGGGATGATGAGCTTGGAGGAGAAGGTTGGAACTCCTTCGTCTTGCCTGGGGAACTCTGTGTCTTAGAAGGACCTGGTGTCTGCCGTCGGCCCCTCGGCATATCTAGAGCAGAGGGCTTGGCTTGGATGGATGTGGTTCTCAGAAGGAGTTGGGACCGCTCTGGGACCACCAGAGGGGTGTGACTGTGTTGGGGTGTCTGTCCCTGAGGATGTGGTTGTCCTTCCTCGCTGGCTTACAGCACCGGGGGTCCCCCACAAGTGAGGGGGATGGGGACCATGATGAGCTAGTGGGATGTTGTGGGACGCTGAGCCTTGACTTGGACACTTGTGTGCAGTATTTAGTCCGAAAGTGGACAGCTCTGTGCTGCCCCACGGGGAACGGCTTGGCAGACAGACATGCCCAGCATGTAAATCTTTCTGACGGAATTTTTTTCCCAATTGAACCCATCAAAACTGACTTGTGGCTCTGAGTTAAATCTCACATCCTCGGCTGCAATGATGAGAAGTTACCAACAACTTCTGAATTGTGTTTAATCCATTAGAATACTAACCGAGCATGGGCTCTCTGCTGTTGCATTTTCTTTATAAATATAATTTATTGCATAGTTAGGAAAGATTAGAATATGCTACTTTCCCGCTATTCAAATTTTATTTCTGGAGTTCTTGGAGAGGTAAATTTGAAAATACTGGGCTTAATGAAGTGATGCCATTCAGAGGTTTCTCTCTCATCTCGGCTCTTTTTTTTTTTTTCCTTTTCTCCTGTGTGTTTTTTTTTTGATGAATTTCTGGCTGGAGAGGATGTGGTGTTGGTTTCTTTCAGCTTCATAAAGATAAGTCACCCTCTGTTTGTGGGATTTGTATTAGCTGAGCCGGATGCCCAAGCATCAGCGAGGTAAAGGGTTTTGTTCATGGAAGCATCCTCCTAAGCACAGACCCCCGGGGAAAGGGTCCTGGGGAATAGTGTTGGGAAGAGGGCAGCCCACAGCCTTCCAGGACTGTCTCCAACATCTCTCTTGCCAGTGAGGACAGAGGACTGCGGATCCCAGAAAGGGGGCTGTGTCCCGCCGTGGGCTTGCCGGGTCTGCTCGGCACCGGGCTCCTGGCTGAATCCCACCCTGGAAGATCCTGCTTGGGACTCGCCACTCAACATCCATGGAATGACGTGTGTAGATCAACTTTTGTGGCATGAAGTATTTTCAGGTGACTTTTATGGGCGTAATTATAGGGAAATGTTATGATAATGTGGCACTAGAAAAGGGAAGAAAAGCAAAACATTAAAATCCCCATTTCTTTATATAGCTTCGCAGCTGCGCCGATTGAGAAGGGCTCCTTTCTGCATTAAAATGTGGTGCTCTGGAGTTAATGACCTCTACAGAATGCCACCTGTCACCCAGAGCGCCATGGGTGACGGCGGAGAGATGGGGAGGAGATTGAGGGTCTCCTGCTTGTGGGGGCCTGGACTGTTGTGGAGTGAGAGCTGCAGGGAGGGCGAGGGCCTGTGGGCCTGCCCGTTGTCTTTTCTTTGGGGTGGGGGGCTGTCCCTGGCTGTCAGGAGGCTAACAGAATCTGGTGGTGTCCCTTCCCAAATTCTGCTTTGCTCGCCATGCACAGGCTCTGGGAGCTGGAGTTCGGGGCGCCAGGGCGACCCCAGAGCCCTGTGGCTTCTGCAGGGCATCCCTTGGCGCTGGAGCCCCCCACCCCAGAGCCCCACGGAGTGCCCCCAGCTCCCGTAGGGGAGGCTGCTGCCTTTCATACTCTGGTCCAGAGCTTCCCGGACCCGGCCCAGGAGCGCGGACTGAGACTCCGGGCAGGCAGCACAGACTTGCTGGCTGGCCAGGCTTTCCAGAAATGCCGAGCAGCCGGCCGCACATCGGGGCGGCTGTTCTCCTCTCTCCACCCTGGCCAAAGTGGTGGAGGGCTCCGGAGGCTTTGTAACCTACACTTATTAAAATGGCTGCCAGGGTCGAGTGTGCAAGCACTTTTGTCTGCAACTAGGCGAACAGGACTCCTCCGGAATGCCCTGCTCCCCGCGGCCCTGGGGAGGCCCTGGCCCAGCTCCACTCCAGCGGCGTCCTGGAGAATGATGGCCTG